TATGTATATAATATATATTTTTATATATATATACACACACATGCTGGGTGTATCCATGCTGCTTGGTCCATGCTCTGAAAATGTTCTGAAGAAGTAGATATGACATACCTAAAAAAGCAGGAAATTTGATTTCATACAACCTTAGAGAGTAACTTCAATGCATTAATTAAATCTATGCTTCTGAGCTTGTTAGCTTGTTTAGCTAAGTTTGTTAGCCACTTGTTTGGGGCTTCTTGCAAACCTCTTCTGCCACTGAAGCAGATTCTGGTGATTTTTGTAAATAATTGATAAAGTTAGGTGTCAGTGTATTGTCATTGTGTTTTCTTATGATATGAACAGAGAAAAGGAAATGCGTCTGAGTGATAGGAGGGAATGCAAGTAAGTGACATTCAGCAGAGGCAGTTGCATATTTATATTTATTCTTATCCCCATACCTTACCTGTGGTGTTCAGTGAGCTTTCTTAAGAAGCCAACATGATGACATTGTCAGGACAGGACCTCTGTGCTATTGCAGTAGGCTTTCTTACAACCCTGACCAGCCCAGCTTGGAAAGGAGGAGTTGAATAGAGATCAGTCGGCGGTGATGTTTTTGCATTGGTCTTTTGATTTTGTCATAATTTCTCTCATTTTGGCTGCAAAGTAGAGGACAGGAGACACCACAGACTAAAGAATGCTGGGAAGAATAAGCACATGACTGAAGTCTGACTTTTGCAACATGATTTAGGAGATTGTTCTTGAACAGTTAGCTGACAATTTTGCAGCATTGAGTAATCTTGTAGTTCTTAGTGTTTCAAGTAATGTAGCTAGAGAGGGATGAACACTACTGTGTGCTGAGAGCTTTTACTAAAAGGATTTGCTTCTTGCTGTTGAACACACAAAGATCAATTTCTGGTAGGCTGCTGCATGCAGCGTACCTGAAAAAAAACCACCACCAGAAGGGATTTTCTTTCAAATGTGATAATAACTATCCTGAAAATAGTGGAGGAGACACCTGAGAACTTAGCATTTGAATGTGTCCTGCCCCAGAGGCTCTGAAGGAGCTGTGGTTGGTGATTATGTACGTGTGTTCAGTATCTAGTTGCTGTGGTAAAACCCAGTGGTACAGTTTCCTTTGTTCACCGTAGCAAAACAAAGCTGTGACTTCATGTGGAGTGTCACCTTGCCATGTGATAACTGCAGCCTCCAGAACGCTCGTGTTTTTCAGTTTTCCCCCATGCAGACTACCAAAGTACTGGTACCTCACCAAAGCAGCACTGCGGGCACTGTGCAAGGGCATGCAGAGCAGTTGCCTGCAGATGCAGACTGGAGTTGTGTGGGCCTTCAAGTAAATTAAGTGCCTAACTCCTGCTCACATCGCAGTTAGGTGCTTATCCTCTTCAGATGAGTTTGTAAGTCTGAATCTCAAGGTGAATTTTTGACTGCTTAGATAGCTTTGTAAACTTAATCCTTCAGTGAATGATGTTCTGTGATCTGTGGTGATTTTATCTGTTACTGGTTGATATATTTGGGGGTCATGAAATAGATTCTTACAGACCTGTTGTACTTTGATCTTGGATGAGTGAAAGACAAGCAGGCAGCCTTTTACAATTCTCTTGCTAATTTCTGTCCTTATTTATTGCTTGAATTGAGATTGGCATTTAGCATTCAGTGACTTTTCCTACTGTAGCAATTAATTTAATTTTTTTTCCTCTTTGTCCCCAGGGTGTACTGGACAGATTTTCCCAAATTCAGCCTAAGCTCATCTTCTCCGTTGAAGCTGTTATATACAATGGCAAAGAACATAACCACTTGGAAAAGCTGCTTAGTGTGGTAAAAGGTATTTCACTGCTCACCATCTAATCTTAGTTATGCTGTGGTTCTGTGAGCACTCAAAGCCTGCGCTACCTCTAAACGTGACACCTTTGACTGCTTATTGCTGTCCTTCCTCCTTTACAGTATCTCTGTGGCCACTTAACTTCAGAACTCATCTGAAGAAAAACTGACCAGGCTTTTGTGTAATTCTAACTATCTTTTACTAGCTTTGTTTAAATTATACCATCATAAATTAGTCAGCAGTATAAGTGGGGGAACAGGGACTGATGATACCCGTTTTTAAGCCAAAGGGAAGTGCTGCTGAAGACAAATGAAGGGGTATTGCAGCACTAACGCTTGCAGACTTACACATGTAGTATAAGTGGGTGAACAGGGACTGACGATACCCTTTTTTTTTAAAGCTGAAGGGAAGTGCTGCTGAAGACAAATGAAGGGGTATTGCAGCACTAACGCTTGCAGACTTACACATGTAGTTTTAAAAGGCTGGCAGTATTAAGGAAATGGTATCTTAGGTAACAATTCAGTATTTTGAGGTTTTTTAACATTTGAAACTATAACCAATACTCGGTGCATCAGAATGATTTCTGTTACTTTGTGTGTTACACTGTACAATCCAATCAGACAGAAAAGACCTTTGGTTTATGTAACTGAATGTAGGAAATATTTTTTCTTCTTTTTTTTTTCCAGGGCTTCCAGATCTAAAATGAGTGGTGGTTATTCCATATGTCTCCTCAAGAGAAACCATAGATATTTCTAAGATCCCAAACAGGTAATGGGAGCTTGTGAGCTGTGGCTGTTCTACCAGGAATGTGGTGGATGCTGACAGCTATTGAAGCTGTCTGTTCTCTTGGTCTTGCAAAAGCTAGGATTTAGCCAGATTTCTTAATGTGGATCCAGCTTCCTACTGAAAACAGTAGTAGTATCTTGCTGCAGATGTTTTGCTTCTACAAAATGACTGTTGGTATTAGTGGTTCTCACATGAAGGCAAATTTCAATAGGATATAGCAAGGAGAAGAAAGTGGCTTCCAGAAATGACCAATTAGTAATTTAAGTGACATTTTTAGAGATAATTTGCTTTGCTTATTTACTGGTCTGTATTATGTATGTTAGATACCTTTTGGAAGTGGTTGACTTCCAGACAGGGAGGGTTGGATTATTCCAGTCTGCTATGGGCTGTTAAGGCTGGCAGCTGAACATAGGTGCAGATTTATCAGCTTCAATTTGTTGTCACATCTCAATATTACACCAGTGCTTTATTTTAAGACAAAAAGGAAACAAAACGAGTAGGAAGACTAGAAATAAAAATATTTCTAGTGTGTGTATATAGTTTATTGTAGAACTGTTAGACTCAAAGGTAATTGTATGGGCTGTGGTAATGCTTTCAAATAAAGTGAAATGTTCCTTTTCTCTCATGCAGTGTATTTTTAGAAGACTTCCTTGCTACTGGGAAAGGAGACCAGGCTCCCCAGCTGGAGTTTGAACAGCTGCCCTTCAGTCATCCTCTCTTTATCATGTATTCATCAGGCACAACAGGGGCACCAAAATGCATGGTTCATTCTGCAGGGGTATGTTTTCCCTCCTGGACATAACTACCTGGGTTACTTTTCCTTTAACAGTATCATATCGTATCTACTTTAAGGAAGAATTAATTGCTGACAGCTTCTGAGTAACTTGAAATGAAACTTTGTATTAGTAAGTGACTGTTTGAAAACAAACATGGATTAATAAGGATATAAAATCATTTGGTTTAGAGATTGAGTGGAGACCTTTCAGATTTCAGCAGTTTCCTGGGAGCAAGTGCCTGCCACAGAAGCACTTGGAGAGCTGGCCCAACTGACACTTGTAGAGAAAAGACCCAAGGACTTGAATTGGACACCGTGAAGTTGAGGCCCATAGGGAGCTTGGAGGTTTTATCTGTAATTTTTTGGACCCTAAACTCTACTCCTGCATTTGTCATCCTCATCAGTCTTTTTGTAGTGAAGGAAGCCAGAAGGTTACCTGTCTCTTTGGGTGTAGGTTTTGTTTTGGAAGCTTTGCTTTAGGCAGTATCTTGTTCTGACTAAAGGTATGTGTGATGTTACTGCCAAAATCACCCATGCTTTACTGTTTATGTTCTAAAAGTTGGTCTGGGCTACTTACTAAAGTTGAAGTGTCTCAACGTAGCGTTGAAACTTTAATTCTATCATTGGTATAGCCCTTAAAAACCAGGGCTCCCTTTCTCTAAGGCAGGCAGACTGTTGTCTAGCACGCTTGTACCAGCTTGTGTAAATGAAACTGCACAACTCTTAGCCACTGTCCATTGCTTCTGCTTTTTGCTCTGAAACTCAGGATGAGCATCTAGCAAGACTGGCTGTGGAGTTGCATAGGTAGCCCGAGGGCAGGATCACTTTGATGTTACACCCATGGTGTGTATGTTCCTGCCTTTCTTTGATGGCAAGGACTGGCAGGATTTGCCCACAGACAAATCCCACACTGCCTGTAAACTCTCTGCTTTATATGGTATCAATAGGAGATCATACCAGTCAGCATGTGACACATAAATGGTACCTTTGGGACACATCCTGTTTGTGAAGAAGAAAGGAGGAGCTGTATTTTGAAGTTTGACAGCTGTTTTGAAGCTGTGCTGGCTTTAGACTGGTTAAGTACCTTGCAAAGATGGATTAGCAAAAGCAGAGCAGGTGTTTTGTTCAGCGATGCATGATAAACTGTAGGGAGATGAAAAGCACTGATACAGATCAGGCAACAGGACTTCTCTGTTGCAAAGTTCCTTCTCTTCCCATGTTACCTGGATGGCTGCTCAGCTTGCCCTTGATCTCATGCCTCTGCTCTCCATCTGAATCATCTTTTCATTTTGATATGGTTACCGTGGAGTTTGGGTACAGACTCATCCTTACTGAGGAGGAGAGAACGTGATGGTTTGAATAGGATGTTATTTATGAGGATTCTGTGTTTCCACCGAGCAGCTCCGTAGCTCCTGTATTGCAGGGGGATTTTTTTCTTACATTCTGGTGCTAACACCTGTGGCCTAAAAGCAAATTGTTCCATCAGACTTCCTTGGTTTACATGCTTTGTATGGGTCACTTTGAATACGTTGTACAGTAAAATCCACGCAGAGAAATTCTTTGTCTTCTCTACACTTGATTGGGTTCCTCTGTTTGTTCTTGGCTTAATCTTTTATTTCCACTGTAATTAATAGGAGGATTCTCACTGATTCCAACAAAAGCAGAATTAGCCCATGATCTGTCTCTTTCCAGCCTCAGATTAACCCAAGTTTGGTTTCGATAGTTAAAAACACAAGAAGAGATCACATTTCAGTAGAGAAACTTCAATTATTGCTTATTTGCAGTGCGCTTCAGTGCACTTCAGTTACTGTACTGATCTTATAGATGCTAATAGGCAGTTTACTTGAAATTCACAACTCGGTTTATCTAATTCTGTCGTATGTTTCTGGTCTTTTTTCCTGCACGTATTCTGTTTTATTGACACACAGTGAAATAACATATGTAAATAACAAAAATGAGATGATTTGAAAAGCAGTAAGGTTTTTCTGCTCTTGAAAGCAAAGCTGTGTCTTGTTGAACACTTGGGTGTGCTACAGGAGGACATTTGGAGGGTATTTGAAAAGTGTTAGTGAGTGATTGTTATTCTGAAGTCCTAAAAATGCTGGCTTTGCTTCTTACCCCATTCATACAGGCTCCTTTTCAGTTACTCTGTATTCCCAACTATTTAAGGAGAGAATTTTTTTGTAAATGAGTTCATTTCCATCCATCTTAAGGTCTTGCAAAACCTGGGCTTAAATAGCTGCGCTGCTGCAGACTTCTTGAGTAACTGTGGGCAAACCACTGAGGATTTTTCATACTCGGACACTTTCTGCATGCTGTTCTATAGGGAACACTGCTGCTTTGAGACCAGGGCCAGCAGCCATGAGTAGCTGCTCACTCTCGGCTACGTAACCACTTAGCACTGGTCCCTTATGCACTGGTAGTGTGGCTCAGGAGCAGCAGTGCCTGCTGATTTTTTGACACTCCAGATGCTCAGCACTTCATCAGCCGTATGTTAAGCCCAATGAAGACAAGCAGGCCACTAAGTTTTTATCAGCTGCCAGATCTCTGTCATGAAATGCAAAATGCTTAGGATTTATTTAAGAGTCGTGCAAGGCCTATAAATAAACAAGGTCTATAAATAAACTTGAGAGAGCATCTTGGGTCTAAGCTCTTTAGACAGCTCTGCCTTACACTACAATACCTTTGTTTCCAGACTGAGATTTACCAGGTTTTGCAGGAGAATAGTTCGTGGCCTTTACTTAGTCATTGTGATAAAGTTTCCTTTTGCTTCTAAAACAGTGACATGGCAACAGCTACGTGAAGGAAAAGGAAAACCAGTATTTATTTTAATTTAGCGTGACTTAATTTCATTATTTTGTGTGGCTCTTTCAGATCATCCTGCAGCGGCAATGTGCATACTCTTATAAATGGAATAACGATGTTAACACCTGCAGTTCTTTTGGCAGCCTTAACAATTAAGTTAGACATGGTGTGTCTAAATCCTGAAGTTATTTTAAGGTCTTTAAATGCAGATGGTGGTAGCTCTAGCTAGGTGGCAGCATTGTGACAGCTCAGTGTATTCAAACAGCGGCAGCTGAATTTAGACCTTGTTCCTTGGAGCTGCAAAGAGAAAATAAGATTTACTCCTTTATTTTTATTCAATGTTTTCTGCCTTTTCTCCCGAAGCATGTGCCAGTTTTATGACTCTCCTTTTTCATTCCAAATGTTTATCTGTAATCTATTTTCTTTCAGCATAAATCTTCTTTCATGCTTATGAGGCTCTTAATAGTTCCACTATAACTCCTTGCATAAATGCAAAGGCAATCTTTATTTACAATTGACCACATTAATTTGTCACTGCAGCGAAGTGACTTAATTAAGTAGTTTGTAAATTTAGCCTAACAAGTGATGATCAGAAAGGTACTTCAGCAGCATTTCCAACAAAAGGCAAAAAGAAGTGATATATTTAACTACATTACTGTTAATATTGATGCTTTGAACAGTGTGATTTTTCACACCGCTAGCCATTTCAGTGTTCACAAGAGATGTGTATAGTTAAGTCTTCTGTCCCCTAAATATTAATAGATGGGATAGTTTAGATAAAGAGTTAATGTATAGCAGCTGCTGCAGTTTATAGCAGCTCCAGGTCCTTCATTCCTCCCAGTTGCCTGGATATACTGAAAATGAAACTCTGCTAAAGGGCTTATCTTGGAAAATCTGACTGGTAAAAGCATGCTGTTAAAATTATAGCCTGCGTGGAGTGCTCTGCAACGCTGGTGGCTGCGCAGAGCTGGAAGGGAAGTTATTTATTCCGTGGATTACAAGTGATGTGCAGTGGGAATTGCCGGGGTCTAATGAGAGAAGCTGAAAAGTTATGTGAGAAAATGGAGAATGCAATTGCTGCTGCTGCTGTAGATAGGCCCTGGGATTTACTTCAGCTGTAGTTAAAAGGAAATACTTGCCTACAATCCCAGAGTACATCCTGGAAAGGATTTGACAACATTAGTTTATTTTCTGAAGTCTTAATGTGCTGTCAGAGTTTTGCTTTTCATTTGTGTGACATTCTTTCTTTTGCTGTTTTTTTTCAGGGTACGCTAATACAGCATCTGAAGGAACACATTCTTCATGGCAACATGACCAGCAATGACATTATTATGTACTATACAACGGCAAGTGTGGCTTATTAAGGCATTTTAAAAAAGCACTTTAACGTATCTTTCTTATAAAGATCAGAGACCTTTTCCTACAAATCTACAAGTATATTTTTATGTCTTTAATTCTTGTTCTGCAAGGGGTTGTGCTACTTAAATGAGGTTAAAAAGATCAGGTGGAATAATAAAATGCAACAGGGACCTTTCTGATGAAAGGTCAAAACCATGTTAAATGTTTCTGATCTAATTAATGATGAAAATGGATTGATTTTTACAGTCTCTTAGGTTTGTAGATCTAACTGCCTCATCAATATCACCTGCAAAGCAGTCTCTACTTTGCTGTATCATGCAAGGCTTGACCATACTGAAGATGAGAATTTCTGTTATGTCTTTGCTTTGAGGAGGAAAGAAGCTGCATAACTCCAAGTTTAGTGGAGGAAAGGGAATAAAACCGATCTATCTGTAGGAGCTATGTAGTGGGATTTTTTTCTAATTCTGTGGTGAAGAAAATTATTCTGAAGTCTTCTATTACTCTGTTGGTTTGAGAAGGCTAATGTCTTTCCTCATGAGTTCCCTTCTGAACTTGAATGCTACTGACCAGTTTGTAATATCTCCATGGAGGAATCATTATAAATACCTTGTCCCAAAGTTGTCCTGTCTCTGGACTCATGCTTTAAAGATGTGTATAGGGAGGTATGAAATCCTCATCTCAGTGGGTGTTTGTAAGCATAAGTTAGGTGAGCATCCATCAGGAACATGTGGCTGATCCAGCCTTGGGACAGGTGAGAGGATAAACAGTGCTCCAGCCTTATTTTCTCATTCCTAAATAGTACAATTAGATGTAATCAGTAGAGACGGGCATAAACTTGGGTGTTAGTTTAACAGTTTCTTAAAGCAGGAAAACTTCAGGCTAGGGAAGTGGAGGGGAGGCACCTCTTGCATAAGGGCAGGGAGCAGGCCTTGGTCCAGATGATTCTGCCAAGAGCTATACCTGTCAGTCATTCTTTAGTTGCCTGCAGCTCTTCTACCAACAGACAACAGCAAGCAGCACTGCTGATCCTATGGTAGAGCCACCAGGGAAGCGGGCAGTGAGCTGACAAAAATAAACTGATGTAGGTATTTTCTTTTTTCCAGACTGGCTGGATGATGTGGAACTGGTTAGTGACTGCACTTGCTACAGGAGCTTCAGTGGTCCTGTACGATGGATCTCCTCTAATTCCATCACCAAATGTGCTCTGGGACCTGACTGACAGACTAGGGTATGTAAACAAGGGTAACCGGGAGGATCTTTGCTCCTGTTATAGTGACTGCATACAGGCAACCTCATTAAAAGTCATTCCCTTGGTCAGAAACCAGTCTGTGGCATGCCGTAGTTTATTTTGGCTTGGCTTTGAGTGGAACTACTCTTTAAAATTTTGTACTAAAACAGTCGGAGTACAGAAGAGACAAAGAGTTGGTTGTTTTGAATTTGAGTCAAGTGTTTGGATTCCAGGCAAACAAAGAATTTTGGTTCAATAGTCAGTTTTCAAGAGCAGCCTTTTCAAAAGGCAGTAATTGGGAGCAATCTGAAGAGTGATTTCTCAGCGCATTCAGAACTTAGAAAATAAGAATCCTTTATTTCAAGCAGTTCAACATAAGACTCAATGTAGCACTTTGACTTAAAGATGTAAATTGACTGGAAAGGCTCAGCACGGTCACTTACACTTTCATATTTTGCTTTTTAAGCTATAATGCCTAATTCTGCCTGTCGAGCTGTTTGCTAATTGTGTTACACAGCTCTTTGTGCCTGGAAATGCTCACAGTGCCCTCTCTCGAGGTCTGGTGAAATGGCAGGTATGAGATAAACAGCTGTCAAATCCTGTCGTGGTATTTAGCTTTGCACACTGGTTAAACTTTGATTTTATTTCCTTTCTAACTTTCCTATTTTGCCAGCTGGATGTAAGGAAAATGCATCTGAATATTACTGGTGAAACAGTGTCATTTTGAATTAAATTCAAATTAATTAATTTGTGGTGGAAAGTGGGTGCCAAAAGATTGACTTTGACTGATAATTAATAATTTAAACTTCACTCTGTCTTGTCACATGTAATATTTAATGGCTAACATTTTTCTCTGCCTTATTGTAATTGAAGGTTAATGCCTGGTTAGAATGCTTCCAGTAAAAAAAAAAACAACCCATGAAACAAAACCACAAACTTAAGACACACCCCCAGTCCTAAAAAAAAAACCCCAGTAAAACAACAGGCAAAAACTTAGAATCAAGAAATAACACGGCTTATTTTTAAGCATTGTTTCTACATGCCAAAAGCAAGTGAAGATAACTGAAATGTGGCTGCATGTCTCACTTTTATAATCTGGTGCTAAAAGTGGTGGCCATCTGTGTGGTACTTCATAACGCAGTCTGTTCCCAACTCAGTCATATGTTACATACTTTAAAAAAAAAGCTTCATGTTAAGGCTAGCTAACTTCTCTGAAGATACACCATACTTTCCTTCAGATAGCATATCCTTGTGGTGTCACCAAGATAACACATACTGCAGGACAAGGGTTACTAGAGTGGACACCCGTTAAAGATGTGATCGAGTGAACTGTATTTAGTCACCATCCACCCATTTTAGAGCATTTGGAAGGAAATAATAGGAGACTGGGCTCTGTGTGTGCTGTAGAGGAAGCGTCAAAGAGCTTAAAAATAGAGAAGCGTTACGTATTCTAACTGAAAGAAGCAATAATTTGAAGCATGGAAGGAAAGTAAGATATTACGCAAGGGTGAAAAATAGTTCCCGTGGTGGTGGAACAAGGAAAGTGGAGGAGCAGTGTACTTCAGTGGGCTCTCACGATGCTGTTCCCATGTACCAGAGAAATTGCTCTGTGTACCAGAGTACCTGATAAATTGCTCTGTGCACTGATGTTTGTCCCTGTTCCTGCCGCAGAAGTGGTGGCCTCTGAGTAACTGTCACCCCCCTAAATGGCAAAGGAAGTCATCCCCTCTTGATAATACTGAAATAGCCCTCTCTCCATGTCCAAAACCGTGTTATGTCAAGAGCTGCTCTGCCTTCCGTCTTGCCTTTGGAGTAAAAGCAAAGATAGTGGGATCTTATTTTAAGTTCTGCTGATGTACGTGTTGCCCATTTTCTGTGCACTCAGTCTGTATCCTTTATCCTTACCTGTCTCTATGCATTTTCTTGAGTGGGTTTATTGCTGTAATATAAAATGAATTAGCAGAAGGCAGGGAAGAGGATTTCCTGAAGGTCAGCAGAAACATTAAACTAGCACTTTCAATAGAGTAGGGAAGGGGTACAGCCTTCATTTCAAGTTGTAATTCTGTTATGTTGGAGAGCTCTAAATATACTTTTTGCAAGCATGGAATTTAATTGTTCAGTTAGGCCAAATTTCATGTTTGGTTAGGCACTTGCAACTCAGACTTTCATCAGTGGAAACTGAAGAGGTATCCAAGAGAAAATTGCTGGCTGCTATCTTCAGAGTGAAGTATTCTTTGTTAAACTGTACTCTGAAATGGCAAAATTTGTGTATGTAAGAGTGTAACAAGGCAGCAGCTCTGTGTTAAACAGCTTCGTGGCAATTATGGCCCATTGATGAGGTAAATGTTACAACGTTTTGTGATCTCTTTGGAGTGGTCTGTGGCTATGAATTCCTGTAAATGAAAGTGAATGTTTTCCAAGAGGTGGGAGAGCTTTGCTTAATATTTAAAGATGGATTTAAAAGTTCCAAAGCTGCAGAACCGACGTGTGATCTGACTGATTTTGATTGCTCAAACAGTTGTGCCTCGCACTTAGAAAGCTTTAAGAGGCTGCACTGCTCGACTAATCGATGTACAGAGTGGCTGCAGCCTCTGCAGTGGGAATTGCAAGTCTTTAGAATCTTAGCATGTCTGAATATGCAAAACATTTAAACTTTTTCCCTCTCTCTAGGATCACCATCCTTGGAACGGGTGCAAAGTGGCTGGCTGTGCTAGAAGAGAAAAATTTAAAACCATGTAAGCTTCAGAAAGCTCTTGAATCCCTTCTATCCTCCCTGCTGCCTTTCCTCTCCAGGTTCTGGCCCTGCATCTTGTCACAAAGTCCTTTATGTAATTAATTCTGCATTGCAGTGACAAATTCACTGAAAATGAAAATTCTACCTTAACTTGTTTTCATGCTTTCCCACATTTAAAGGTGAAACACACAATCTCCAGACACTCCACACCATACTGTCTACAGGATCACCGCTCAAATCTCAAAGCTATGAGTATGTCTACAAACACATCAAAAGCAGTGTCCTCCTGGGATCCATTTCAGGTGATGCTTTTGTGCTGTGTGCATCTCGCTAATTCTCTTCATTGCCTGTGCATCTCCTTTTTGCTCCTTGGCTGCTGTATATTTGGGAAGCTGAAGCCTTGGATCATTCAGGCTCGGCTGTAGTTAAACTGGAATTAATTGTCTTTTTAGTGCAGAGTTTTTCTGCATAATTCAGTGTGCCGTGATGAAGCTGGTACCCTCAAAGGCTGGAATGTTTCTGACACAGATGTTTTGGGTTTTAGCTCTTTTTTTTTTTTAAAGCAGGATCATTTATTTTGACTGGCTGTCCTTAGGGGTAGCAGGGTGAGATCAAGAGAAGTCTATTAACCTACAGAACATACTGTTCTGCAAATAGCTGACTTTAGCAGAAAATACCTCTTGGAGAGGTTTTTCCATGTTCCCTTTTTGATTCTTTTATGCCAAGTAATTGGCACTGCAGACAGGTTTTTTTGTAAATTATATAATTAGAGAAATATCAAGCCCACATACTGTGCAGTTTGTTGTGAGGAACGCTAGCTCAGGCAACTTCTATTCGCATAAGGTCCAGCACAGAACTCCTCATTCTGCTTTGTAACGAGGGCTGACTTTTTCAAAGGGCATTTTAACTCGGTTTAGTTTGGTTTGTAAAGTCTGACTATTCTGCCACTCAAATCACCTCTGACCCTGCTCTTAGTAAGAGTAGTGCTAAATCTTGAACTTGCAACTATAGACAGGAAAAGTGTCGAGTGCAGAATGTCAAATGTTTTTATGAGCAAAACTAACAGGGTTGATTTGTCTTACAATTGCACTTCCTTGAAGTCATGGACTCTAAATATTCCAGTTTAGTCAGCACTTCGACTGTATCTATTTTTATTAAGTTAACTGCTCATCCGATAGGCATGGCTTCTCTTCCAGCCCCCAACCTTTGTGCTAAGGAGAACAAGATAAAAAAGCAAAGTAAATATTGAGTGGAATAGCTGGACTAGTTAATTCAAACAAATGAAAACAAACAAAACGTTCCTAAGTGATCAGTTTGTAAACTGGGCCCTGTTTATTTTCTCACTCTCATGTAAACAGAAATTTCCTTAAATGAGATTAAAGAAGCTGCTGGAAGAAGAAAAGTTATGCCTTAAGCAGTATTTCTGCATGAAGGGCATACACGTATAAAAAGACACATAAAGTAAGAAAAGAAACTAACTTTTATTAAGTCACATAGCATCCTAGATAATACTGTCTATTTTACGATGCTTAATGTGGATCAGAAGCATTTGGTGAAGGTGGTAGTTTGCTGTTTGAGGCTTCTTAAGTAGCTTTAAGTTTTGCTTTTCCAAAAAGTATTGTGTATTCTAAATGGGCTTTTTTATTGTAGGAGGAACAGATATCATTTCGTGTTTCATGGGTCAGAATGTTACAATTCCAGTTCACAAAGGAGAAATTCAGGCCAGAAATCTTGGAATGGCTGTAGAAGCATGGAACGATGAAGGTAACTTATCCAAAATATTAGGGGCACTTATGAAACACAGTAGTTACGTGACCTTAAGGTTCATTCAGGAGATAGGTGAACAGCCAGCTGTTAAGTGAGGGATTTCACTTTGGAAGCAAAAACTGGATCTGGATCCATCTGCTCTAGAGTCCTGTAGGATCCAGTGAAGATAATCAATGTGGAAAAAGGTTTTCCCTTTACTGTGTAAAAGCACATCCAGTCAAATTCTAGCCTCTGAAGTGTGTGCTCACTAATGTTACGGTGGATGCCAGGCTGGCTTCCACCCTGTCCTGTATCTCCTGAAGTTACCAAGACAGGAATGAGTTTAGTAACTGAATACAAGCTGTTAAGTCCACCAGTCATAGCCCATCTCACATCAGCATCTGGCATGCTTTGCTACTCTATTGCCTACAGAAGGGAAATGCAGAAAATACCTTTCTCTTTGTAAACAGGAAAACCAGTTTGGGGTGAAAGTGGAGAGCTGGTATGTACCAAGCCTATTCCTTGTCAGCCTACGCACTTCTGGAATGACGAGAATGGAAACAAATACAGGAAGGCTTATTTCTCAAAATTCCCAGGTATGTAATTAAGGGCTTTGGATCTTGCTCAGACTGACCGAGGATATAGATTGTATTGCTGCTCTTAGGAAGGTACAGGTTTATTCTTGCCCAGTGATAGGCAGATGCAACTTTAAATCTAAATTTCCAGGGTGAGAACTCCACAGCATGTTTCACAATATCTCACACTATTTTCTAGTGCTTTGTTTTAAATATGGGTCCAAATCACTTTAATAAGAATCACTGGAGAGCTCCAATCCCATTTTGCTCCTGCTCTCATTAGGCAGATACGATGGTAACAGCCTCATATAATCTATAGTGCAGATACAGACTGCTTGGCATGGGTGTGAAATGAGAGTGCTGAATAGGCCAGGGAGCAATCCTCCATTAATGAGTGCTACTGCACCTCTGCCAGCCTGCTGCTACCTAGCCAGAGGAGTGAATCCAGAGGGGTAAGTGCTGACCTGCTACCTCATTAGCATTAGATTTAAGTATAAGCTGCCTCAGACATGCATATTCTGCATTCATACCATCTTCCAGTGGTGGTAAGAGTAAAGGAACAGGTATTTTGGGCCAGAGGCTTTCTTCCTAATTGTGGAGGACTCTGCTAATCCCGAGCTTTTGCTGATGTGCCACAGCAGTGCTGAACTCCCTGCTGCCTTCTGGGCAGCGGCTTTTATAGGAGCAGGACCTCAAGCTGCTTCATGTTGGAGATGGAAGCTTTTTTACAAATAGCAGCAATACAGAGTGGATTTGCAAGAGAAGTCAGGATATGCAGCAGGAGGTAATCATACAGGAAAACCGAGGGAATGTGGGGAATTGCTGTCTGCATGTAAACCTGACGACAACAAATTGGGGCTGGGGGATAAGTCAGTGTGACAGTTGTTAGACTGAAATCACTATGGTCCAGAGGTTCTGTCTGAAATGTCTTTTCTGTTTTTCCTTGTAAATGGGCTTAAGGTTGTAACATTTAAGTCAGAAAATACTCTTGTGTGCAAATAATTGATGTTTGTTTCTGTAAAAAAAAAAAGGCAGAATTGGCTTGTATTTCTGTGTGGGGCAGGCTGCTGTAGTGGTACCAATCTTAAAATTAATACACAAGTTACTGCAGTTCTGAAAAGTCAAATCTGACTTTAACACACATCAAGAGCATTAAGCACTTAAGCTCCTTAGGGAATTGTTGAGGCCTATTGTGCAAGCTCAGAAAGCTTCTTGCACAGAATTTTACGTGATAAAAGTGGATCAAGAAAGACTGGTGGGAATAGTGTTACCTTTGGGGAAGATTCTTCCAGTTTCCTCAATACGTGGTGTTCAGAGCAGCTGTTCGTCTGTTTTCTGAAGGATGCTGTGTAGTCCTGCAAACAAGCACTCAGAAGATAACCTGTGGTTTGATCCTAATGTGGGAGCTGCTCTTGTGTGTGCAAGCTCTTTGTAGTAAATGCAGTGTGGATTGTGTGTGTAGTTAAGCACTGCTACATTTGCTGTGGGTAGTTCTCAAAGTGTATCTGTTAACGTTTACAAATCTGCTGTGACTGGATGAATAATAAATCAGGTGCTTAACCTTTTTCATTCTCCATTAGGTGTTTGGGCCCATGGTGATTACTGCAAAATTAATCCCAAGACAGGAGGAATCGTGATGCTGGGTCGCAGGTACAGTACTTGAGTGAAAGGGTTCTAAATAAGCAAGTGTTTAAATTTGCTAACTTCACCTAAAAGCATAATGAACCTGATTCTGTCATGCCTGTTAGCTCTATATTTGTTGTGGTAAACCCAGTGTTATGGATTTCAACCCTTAGATTAATCAGAACAGCTGGATTTGACGGAGAGGAGACCATTTGAAAGTTCTGCCCCACTTTTTTTTTTCTATGTGAACACAAGACGAGGATTTGGTTTTGTGTTCTATGGCTTAGAGTCGTAAGAGGTCAAATTGAGAGTGCAGCACATCCAAGGCAGTGAATCAGGAAGCTTGTCTTTTGGTCTTGGCTTTGCTGTTAACTTGCTGTAAAGCAAAACTGAATTATGGAAGGCCAGGTATTAAGTTGTGCTTGCGTTAGCGATCACAAACATTCAAGATAGCAATTGTGGCTAAATTTTCCGCTTGCATTTAAAAGTTGCTGTTTGAAACAAAGTTGAGTGACTGCCTTGAAGCTGTGTCTGGCATTGTCACAAATAGACCTACTCACCAGACACGCGCTGCGAGGCTGCTATACATGAAACACAAGTTCCAGCTATAGGAGACCGGAAAGTAAGGACAGACAATGGTAATATGATGGCGTGGGATGAAGATCCTTGGTCTGCTTTGATGTCAGTGGGGTGTGTGTGTGCATTTGTAGGCTGCTGGAAAGGGGAGAGACTAGGAAAGGTGAATGAATAATACTGACTTTGTCTATACAACTTCATTCCAATAAGCAAAATGCCTTTTTGAATCAAGCTCTTTAAAAATAGTTTCCAATGTGGTTGCATATTCACTGCATGAAATGTAGAGACTGGGTTAATTGCATCAATTTTTCTCTTCTCATCAAGCTCTAATCACATTTTAATGCTTCTTTCTTTTGTTTGTGTGATTTTTTTCAGTGATGGTACATTAAATCCCAATGGAGTAAGATTTGGAAGTTCTGAAATCTATAACATAGGTAGGAAATTAACTTTCCACCTCTCTCTGCTGTAACACTGTTGCCTTGAATCTGAAATGTAAGCATTATAAAGGTGTTTGGAAGGGTTAAGTAGTAAAAGACACTGTTTTTCAAATGAAAGGCAGTGCAGAGCATATTAGCATTAACAGTAAAATTTGGATTTGTAGACTTTAGACTGGTTGCTTTCTTGAAGTCTCTGTAGGGCTGGAGATGACTGGTCAAGATGTGTTCTCCATAAGATGTTGCTTTCATATACTAAGGCCTCACAGATTATTAATTATATCATGCAGATTGTAAGAGAATACCTAACTTCTGAGGCCTTTCTTTTTGTCCTTCAAGACAAGCTGTTGACACAGGTTTTATTATATCTTTCCTAATAATTAGAAGTTCTTGAGCTTGTGCTTCATGTTTCAAAGAAGGTCTGCGTTGTGAAAGGTGGTGAAGCTGTGCCTGCAGAGGTGCTAATCTGAGACTTAAGGACCTGTTGCCTCTCCTTGTTCTTGTGTGATCAAGCAGGTTTGTTTTCTGTCTGCAGCAATGGGGGTTGTGAGGAAAGCCAAAGAAAGTGGCTTAGTGTAAAAGCTTGTGATCTGCTCCAAAAGCTATAGAAAATGTTGGGGTTTTTTTGTTCCAGGTCTAAATATATATATATATATATATGTAGTCCTTAAACCTGCATTTTCACCTGAGCAGGTGTTAAAATTTCAGAGCCACCCACAGGGGAAGCTCGTTGTGCTTAACCTAGCCAGGATGCCTGTTTTGCCTTTCCAGCTCTAGGAGAAGGTAATACTTCTTTTGATGCAACCAGAATAATACAGAAATGCAAGTGCTAATAAAGACTGCCCTTTGTTTTCAGTTGAAGCCTTTGAGGAGGTTTCCGACAGCCTCTGTGTCCCTCAGTACAACAAGGACGGGGAGGAGAGGGTGATACTTTTCCTGAAGATGGCATTAAACCATGCGTTCAGCGAGCATCTGGCCAAGAGGATTCGAGATGCGATCCGTGTAGCGCTTTCTGCCAGGCATGTTCCCAGCCTCATTCTAGAAACCAAAGGCATTCCGGTATGTCATGAAAAATGCTGCCTACTTTTTTTTTCTTTGTCACCTTGAATAGTAATTAAGGAGCAGTTGTCATTGCTCTTCAAGCCCACATGCGTGGAAATTTTAGCATCTCAAAAGTGTATTCGAGCTTTATAAATAGTTTGTCTATGTTGCCTAGCAACATCATTTCATCTCCTTTTTAGCTAAGCATGTTTTTGTTTTTTAACAATACCTAAAAATGCCCATTCTCAACTTATAAACGTGTTGCTTTTTCTCAGTAATCTATACTTAAGCTGTTTAAAGGAAAACATTAAAAAGGTAATTCAACTTCAGCTTTTCTGGCTACCCATAAGCTTATTTTGGTTTTGTTTGCCTGTCTCAAATGGCATTCTTATGAAAGCTGAGAGCGCCGAGCAAATTTATAAAATAACTTCGTAAACCATTTCACTTTTACATCTGCTTAGCCACTTAAATGCAGCTCTATTGCTGTCTTAACCGTAGCAGTAACTACAATAAAATCTTTGTTCTTAGGAGAGAGGGGAGGAGAGAAATTTGTACAGCTCAAGGTTCTGCATGCTCAGTCTTCTGGAGCTGTAGTTTTTTCCTTGCTGTATGAACCCTCAGCTGGAATATTTGGTTTTTGTAGTCCTCTGGCAAATAATAGCCTCAAAATGTCATCTTTGAGTATAAAATCCCCTGCCCCTGTTAAATGGTGGAGTCTAGATTTTCTGGGCTGCAACTTAGCTCCCGCGCCAAGCGTTGAACCTGTAAACTGTGTAAATCACCTGAATATAAAGCACAAAGTTGATGGCAGTGAGGTGTTTGTGATGGGCTGCCCCTCAGGAAAGCCTACTTAGATCATTAATTAGTTCACACTTTGACTGAGTTTACAGTTGAGGGAATTTTAACGACCTTTCAGGTAAATATGCCAGCGGTAAAGTGATCAAAGGCTGTCTCCCATCTTTCTTTGAAAGTTCTGCTTGGAAGGGAAACCTCCTTCTATTTTCTGCTGCTTTTAGAAATGCATTTGAATCCTCATCTGAAGAGCCAGTCTAATTCTGACTGTACTGACACTCTATACTGGTAGAGATGGTATAGCTGCAGTGAAGTGATTAGGACTCCAGTAGTACAAAGTGTGGCTTTAAATGAGAGATCCAGGTGTTAAAAACCACACTGAAAATCCTTCTAGTCCTGTCTGACCAGATGAGCATTCTGATCATCATCCATTAACACATTCACTGATTAAAGCAAACAAAATCACATTGTTTTATATGGGGCAGGTCCCTTGCAGGCCACTGAGGTGTTCTGGTTTCCGAGCACCTGTGAAAAGTCGGTTGAGGAGGAAGAGTGGTTGATTAAGGTGGTCCAGGAGGGTAGGATTACACATTACTTCAGTGGTTTTAATGAGGAAAAGCTTGATTTAGTATCAAGATCGATATTGCAAGAGTTGAGGGTTATTTATCCTGGCTCTGAAAGATCTCTCATGAAAAATGGTGGTGCCCGGAGTTGAGGATTTTCAGTGGCTTTGGAGGCCAGGAACAACCTGGGTTCCTCAGTCAGCAGATTCAGGAGTAAAACAAGTGTGGTTTCTGTGGCTAAGGAGATATTTGGGGGTCAGCTTTCAAAGTTGCCATCCCCCAAAACTTCAGTGGCAGCAGCCCAAGGGAGGTGGTAGCCTTGGTGCCTATAAAAGCATCCTCTAAAATGCACCTTGTCAGTTCCTGTTAACACTGCAGTAGTTCTCCCTTTACCATACTTTAGTCATCAGAAATTACAGTAGTCTGATCCCAAGAAGAGAAGAATTAGGGTTTTTTTTCTCTACTATGTCCTTACTTTTAGAGTAATAGAATGTAACAGAATTTGTGAGATTCATAAGTGGAGGTGAAGCCTCTGTTATGGTTTTTGAAACATTTAAATGGAGAGGACCATTTAGCTCAGTGTTTCACTTTACCCTATTAGGAAAAGACTGTCCATTTAAGGTTCAAAAGTAATGGTTTTCTTCTCCCAAAGCCCAGTGGAATTGGGCTTTGTTTTTTGAGCCCAGCCTTAGAAAACTAAAAATTCTTTGAAAATGGGATGGATCAGAACATAAAACATGAAACATTTTGTGTTTATACCATGATTGTGATCTGGTTTCATTGGTTTGAGTTGGAGCTTTATCAGGAGTAATAAACAAATAGGAATAATTAACTAAAATCACACAAACTCTTCTTTGAATTCCACTGGCTCTTCAATAACTTTCGGAAGAAACACTTGAGGCACCAGAAGGTAACTGAGAAGGGAAGACATTGTGCTAAACTGTGATTGAGTTCTGTGATTGGTGGGGGGTTTCATGAGTATTTCCATGAAGCTCCTAGATGAAAAGTGTAATATTGTCATTGCTGGTTTTGTTTTTCAGTATACAATAAATGGGAAAAAAGTGGAAGTAGCTGTGAAGCAAATAATTGCAGGGAAAGAAGTGGAGCAGCGGGGAGCTTTCTCAAACCCAGAGACTTTGGACCTGTACCAAAATATTCCCGAGCTTCAGAACTTCTGAAGTCACTTGCTTGGTGTTTTTTGTTGCATCTGTCTTTGTTCTGTGTTTGTTTTGTATATACCAATACTGTATGTAAAGAAAAAGCTCTATTTAATACCGGTGGTTCTTTTAAAAGAGAAAATATTTCATTAAGTGCATTATGAAAGGCTTGGGTAAAGCTTTAGCTCCCTTTTATTGGTTAAATATGCCATATGTCTTGGAGTTTTTTCCAGCCTGGAAGGAGGAACCTGCCTGTTTGATTTTTATATATATTAGTGCATCTTTTCTGGTTAGATTTACATCAGCAGCCCATCAAATGGGAGCACCAGTAGCGTAAGTTCCAGTCGCAAATAGGTTATTTCTGTGTTAAAACGTTCACTTTTTTTAAACTGGATTTTTAGCAACACTTTTTTTTCAATCCATGTTTCAGTCCCCAGTAAGGAATATACGGTGATTTTAACTACTTGACTGCAAACCATGACAGTGTTCTATGTAGTGTGCATTTAAATGTTTTTATAAAGCCAAATCATAATGCACTAAACCCATTTGACTTAACGCAGAATAATTTCAGTCTTGAAGTCTCTCACGGTACCCACGAAGGTAATTGCTCCCTCATTTCGTGCTGTAACCTTCCTATTGTGTTAAGCTTTGAGTCGATAGATTTCGGGGGGCTCAGAGGGTGAGGGAGCGATCGCCGCCTCCTCGTTCCTGGTGTAACTCTGGGTTATTTCCATGGGATTGCCTGTCATTGCTCTGGGTTAACATCACTGCAGACAGTGTTTTGCTTCCTTGTTTTAAGTTCTTTCATGGCAGTAAGGCAGCAATCCTGTGTATGTTAGCTGAAGGATTCCAGTGTGCGTGTTTATTAAAAGCTGATGGTTTTGTAACTTTTTTTACTAAATGTCATGTTGAAAGTGAAATACTAAAATGTTTTCTAGCTCTGTATCCTTCCAGTTTATAAAGGGAAAAATACTGTAATGAGCATACTAAAACAGTGAAATGGAAGCACTCAGACGTGGTTTTGTTTTTCATAAAATGCAGTTTCAGTAGTTGTACCAGACCTCTGGCATTCAGTATCTCCTGCACTATTTGAATTTTGTGGGTTAAGTATTTAATGCATTAAAATCATGGATGTCCTTACAATTATGTTGAATGCATTCTGCATTGATGAAGAGTTAATTAAAATTGATTCTTTATATATATATAAAAATAATATATATTACACTTGTTTCAACTTTCATGAGATACTGTCTTATTTTTGTTTTCCTTTTGGGTGTCACAGAATCATTTCTAGCTTAATTTGTTACTGATTTAATGTGTTTAATCCAAATCCACCCCAAGTTGTTGTTTCATCCTGTTTTCTTATGCAGAGCCCAGGATAAGTAAAACATTGCAGCGAGTTACCTATGCATGGCTGGCTCATTGAGAAGGTCACAGGTGAACAGGAGCAGAAGAAAGTATGCTGAAAATGTCCCTTGTGTCAGCACAGTAAGCAGTTGTAGGTTGTGATATGTTAATGTTGCTGAAAAGGGATACATCTGTGCACTCAGAGGTGCGTACTCTGTTACTTAGGACAAAATCTTGATGCTCACATTCAAGTTCAGCTGCAGCCAGCAAAAGCTGACTGTGTATTTCCTCCACCCTGTGGTAGATCTCAGCTCCAGTAAGCTGAAAGCTGTTGCAGAATATGTCAAATATTGCTGCCAATAACTCAGCAAGAGCAAAGCTGCCCATAAATGCAGCTGCACCTCCCAGGTGGTCAGTGACTGAGTCACAAGAAGAGAGTTGTGGACACCAGCTCCACATTCACTGCAGGGTGCAGAAGTGCCTCATTAGCAAATGAGGCTTTAAATGAGCTGGTCTCTGTTTGACTTTCTGAACTGTACCAAGTCAGACAGTATACCATGCTGGCATGATAGATGTGATAGTATAAATACCAAGCACCCATTAGAAAAGTATAAAAATGAGCTATCCAGCTGCCAATAACCTATGATTAAAAGTACCTTTAAATTCCTTTCCCCTCTGGCATGCTATATATAAATTTTACATTAACTGTGACTTTGTATTCATTAAAACTTCATTATATTGTTCTTTAATTCATGCAAAATGTCTGAGTTTACAAAGCCCACAGATCCTTATTAATAAGTAATTTAGGAATATTTCATTAATTAAAGATAGTTTAGAAGCACAGATACATTAAGAACACATACAATGGCTGGAGGGTGCTTTTTTAAATCCTTTTTCCTGCTCAAAACTGTAGAAAGTTTTGTTAGTGGATATAATTTGATTTCTTGCAAATGTCAGACGTTGCAAAGCTTTTCCCTGACTACAGTTACAAACAAAAAAGATATATTCATGTATTGACCCATGTACGTGATAGCTGGTTTCAAGGATCTGAGTTTCAGATGTGCTGGATGCTGACAGCTCATCAAAATTTGGGGAGGAGGGAGAGGTAAGTGTGCACCTGCATTGGGCTGTGAAATGATTTGCATTCGAGAGGAGGCTGTGGCAGAGCTGGGAACACGGTCCAGACTTTGAGTCCAGCTCCCCCTGTTCCAAATCCTCTCCTGCAAACAACCAGCTTGCACTAAAGGTAAGCAAATAGAAATGCAGATGACCCATTTCTTTGGATGCCTCTGTGAACGTGGCTGTGCTTCAGCAAAACATCCCTGGCATGAAAGTGGGGAGCTGAAGTCATCACAGCCTGCAAAGGAAGAGCAGAAAGCGGTTTTCCTTCTGCTTCCCATCCTTGGTTATAAACTCTGTGTTCTTTCCAGGGCTTGGCTGTAGGGTAATTGCAGGCAAATGTGGTTTCAGGGGGGTCTTTGCAAACTGGTGGCACCCAGATGTTTGGCTACAGAGAGCAGCTCTGGCGTGGTAGTGTGGCTCCCAGTGCCATAGTGTTGGCTACCAAAAATCCTGTGTGTGCCATGGCTCTGTGATGCTCCAAGGCACAAGCTGGGCAGCATTGCAGAGCTGGTGGAGTGCTGATCTCCCTCAGGTGTCTTTAATCCAGAAAGTCTTGATGCCCCAAGGCTGGCTGTGTGTAATTTGTTGTACTTCAAATGTGTAGCCCCTTCATCTGCGTTTCTTTATAACTTGGAGTTTGCAGTGTTTTGGCTGGGAAGCTACATACGCAGATTTTAGTGGGATGCAAATAGAGCTGGTTCTGGAAACTGCCTTACGGCTCTGGCAGAAGTGTTCAACAGTGAGGAAATTCAGAGCAGAGGTACTTCAGGCTTAGGTGCTGTCCTCAGTCCTCTGCAGATTTGAGTGTGACTCTGAATTATGTGATGGAATTGGCTCGTTTGCCCTTGACTTGGTGACAGACACAGTTTTATCACTCCCCTTTTAGAAATGTGCTATTGTCAGCTCCTGTTAGTGCAGGTACAACCCCCTCCCACTGCCTTATGATTTCAATTAACTTCCCTGGTTAGTGGTGGTTCTCAAAGAAATAAAATGAGCAGGTACACAACAGCCCAAGCAGGGCATAGCTGATAATATTGTTTATTGTTACGTGCAAGAGAAATTGGTTGTGTGAATTACTTACTCAGTGATTTTAAAAACACAGGTAATTGCCTGATGGAATGCAGCTTCCCTGGGGCCATTATTGTCTCTCAGTTTAATGCATACATATTTAAAAGGGTATCATTTACAAGGCAGAGCAGTCAGTCACACAGGTAAATAGGTGTTGAAATAACATTTAAAGTGTATAAGTAAGGAGTACCAGTTTGTTCTTGAGACACAACTCTAGAGTTTGAGTTTTGGGAACGCTGGTGTCTGTAGGGAATGGCAGGGAGGTGGTGTCCAGGTGATGGATGAGGTCCAAGCAAACCTTTGTAGATGTTTGGGAATGGTCTTCCTCTGTCACATCCTTGGGTGCTGCCATAGTCTTCATGTTGGTAAGTGCAGCTCCAGCTGGCACACAGCAGGGCTTTGCTGTGGCTGAATATCAAATTGAGTTAATAAATACCTTTCTAGATGGTCAATCTTGGGCTCAACAGGCTGTTGAGGGAGGAGAAGGCTCATGGACAGCGAGCACTGCTGCCAATGTGAGACCTTTCCTGGAGAAGGCTGGCGGTGGAGCACAGTGCAGGAACAGCGTGAGATTGGGCCTTTAAATTCAGTGATAATTTTCCATGGTACTCAGAGGTACAGGAGGCTGGGTGAGAAGGGAGAGGGACAGACTTTTGTCCCCTCATGTATTTGAAATTGGTTTGACAGACACTGATTTGGTAGAAGCGTCGTTTTGATCAACACTTCACTTCTGTTTCTACACTTGCCTTTCTTCTCGTGGGTCACTTTATTGAGCAGTCAACCTCAGCCTGCCTTTGAGCCTCTGATCAGTGGTGTTTCAGTCCATGTGGAGGGTTTGATCTTCCTATGGGTCATCTTAGGAGCTCTGCACTGAGCAATTTCTCCACTTAAATCTGGTTTCCTGAGGTGTCTGTCTGCTGGCTGGATCTCGTGTGTCCTACAGAGCTGAGAGGATGAATCCACAAATGCTTGGTTCATCTTTGTCCTTTCATGAGGAGGATATTTTTATCTCTTAAATAATCAGGTCTTAGACAGCAACAAGATGCCATTTAATTTTCTTCTCTGTCTTTTGTAGAAAGAGGAAGCAAGATGTCATACGCTCTATTCTTCCAGAAATAAAACCAGGGTTCGAGCTGCTGTGGAGCATGGCCACCGTCCAGTACAGCAGCCTTGGAGCTGATGAGAGTGCACATATTTTCCTTGCTGGGAATTAGGGGCCTTTTTAGAATCAAATAATGAGATAATCAACATCAGTTTGAGCATCTTGCTCTACATGATCTGTGTGCAAAGCGGGAGCGAATCTGTTATGCCAAGAGGAGGGAAGCAGTCTCTGCAACGCTGTTAGCGAGTCAAAGAGCGTCTCAGACCAATTTGGGTTGCAGAACAATAAGATGTCCCAAAGTATTAATGTAGCAGCCTGCAGCTGTCCACATGCTTGCTCATCATTGCTTCTGATGGCCACAGAAACTCTTCCAAACCACCGGTTGGAGATGAACCTAAGTGATAAAACGGCGTTGGTGGGGGTGGAAAATCTTCAGCATGCCATTGTTTAACTGGGTTATGTAGAACATTAGTGAAGGCTTAATTGGGCCTTGTACTTCTTAATTAGAAGACCTTAACGAATTCTCATCTTACCACATTTGACAAGTGGTTTTGCAAAGTTCAAGAGGCTTATCAGCATTCAGCCTGAGATTCCAGCTGAAATTATAACGTCCCTCGGAAAAAAAACCATAATCTCCAGGATCATTAATTGGTTTACAATAGCATATTGAAGTGTACGTGTAGAGG